GACCCTTTGTCACTTAGCCGCGTTTTAGTTAGTGGACGGAAGATATTAGGAAAAGCTTTGGCGTTACTACGAAGTTCGCTGGGGGTGAATAAAGAATTTTGCGGCCTATATTGTTCGTAGAAATACTTATTTAGGGCATTTTAACAAGATTCTGTGTGTAGAGTAGAATAATACCTGGCGGAGTTCCTCCTCAGCCGAGTCGAGTTGCTGACGCCAGAATGCGTCGGCTGGTTCGCCCGGCCACTCGTCCTCTATACTGTTCCCACCATCCTCTATAAAACGAAACATTGTGTTGTAGATATCGTCATAGTGTAAAGTCGTAAGAGCACTACAACAACAAAACATGTTACTAAACGCACGAGTAACTAATACTTTTTAATTTACGTGAATTTCAAAGAAACCATGAACATATTTGTCTCCTAGTGCGGATAATGCTCCAAGGGGTACCTCAGTCAATTTAATTCAATATTATAAACTAGAAGGTTTTAATAGACAGTGATTTAGGACTTAGGAGGTAGGCTCTATTATACGACAGGGAACTTTCCATCCCAGATATAACGAAGTATGGTAATGGCTCCTTTTATAACTAGGCTCTTTGCGAATACAAAATATGAATACCTCTAAGTTTGTATTGTCATTTAAAAGGTAACATTGAAAACATAACTGCTGAAGACGCATTAATCTTGAAAACGGCTAAGAAAAAAATTACATAAAATGTTATTAATAGTGAAAATGTTATAAGTACTAATAAATCACTCACTCAAATTAGTCATGCGTTGATTGTTAATGGGTTAGCATAGAAGTCATGCCATCTAATTAAATAAGCAGGCACACAGCAATTACTGCGTTTTTGTTCAGGTCTATCTGGATCGGGAAGGCGTCCGTATTTCTCTTCGAGGCGGCTTAGTAGCTCCGTGTCATCAACGTCGGAAATTTCTTCTTCTTCCTCAAGTTCCTCTTCAAGACGTTCATCGTCTATGATTTCAACGTCATCAGGAACATCTTCGTCGTCACCGTCATCAATATCTTCATTACCAGCATTTTGTTGAATTTTAGTATCTTGAACGTCGGTTTTAACTGCTAAACTTTTTGGTGTTTCCTTTTCTTTTACTATCTCCTCTTCTACAACTTCCTCGTCGCTGTATAGTTCTTTATCTTCATCTTGTGGTTCCTCGATTTCTTCAATTTCCTCTACGGTTTCCTAGAAATATTTATTGGAATAGCATTCCACGGGACAATGAAGTTACAGCATACTCTTGAGAAACAAAGGGCTAATACCATACACAAACTGTATATGATAGGTACAGTGGAATAGTTGCCAAACTGACAGGGGTGTTCGGCAGCACGATTATGATAAATTATAGAATTATCTAAAAACACATTTGGTGATGTGTATAAAATTTCTTACTATTATGTAACAGGCTTTTAAAAAGTGTGCAAGACCCAATATAGTAAAAGGTAAATATGAAACTATATACATTTCATTAAGGTGTATAATGTTTAGTCTACTTACTTCGGGTTCGTCATGTTCTTCTTCTTTACTCGGTTGTTTCTTTGGTGGTGATTTTAACAAAGGAGTTACTTTTTTCACTTCAACGATTGGTTTCGATGTTTGTTGCTCTACCTTTCTTGAAACAACTGAATTGAAAAGTTATTATTATTTTATTTACTTGTAACGGGTGTTTTTAATTTATTATAAAAAATACCGTTCTAACAAAAAAAATATATACAATCACGTTTTGTATGATTAAGTATCAAACTTTTATCACAGCACATCGATTTTTTAACACTGTTCTCGCAAAAAAGACGTCAACAATTGATAACGTGCCAAAAACTTAACAAATTATAATTATTGCTTTATCAAATATGTAATGCAATGCGCAGTTTACTTGTAAGTTTTAACTCAAGTCCAATTGAAATAAAACGTGAAAATATCCTACCAGTTTCTGGTTCTTCCGGTATAAGTGTCATTCTTCGATCAATGACAGGTGTTTCTTCTCTAGTCGATGATTCACTCTCAGGGACATCTGTTTGGGATTGATTCTTATAAAATACTAAGGTTTGTGCAGTCGTACTTACATCTAACTAAAAGTGATTAGGTTGAATTCTGATGAATAATATTTTAAATACATTTCAATAAGTGTGTATTAATTTGCGATAAAGTGAGTGACATATTGTGAGATTGTATTTCGCTTCAGGTCTGAGCTCTATTCAAATCTTCGTGTCGCCACATCACGTGTGGCCTAGTGTCGCGCGTTTATGGATTATAAAGTATACATAGTATAGACATTGACCTTTATTGGTAGGTCAATGAGTATAGACGACATTTTTAATGTCACATCAATTTACTACTGTTTCAGTCAACTGCATACTGACTAATTCGGTATATAAAATAGCAGACGACAAACTTATTTCTTCATCGTCGCAGATGGTTCGTGACCCTTATCGCGGAAGCGTTGGTTTTGAGCAAATATTATTGCTATGACGAATATGATTGTTAGTGACCTGGTTCTAAAGCGCTACGCAAATGACGTTATTGTTTGTACGCGGAGGTATAGAATCCTATTAGTATAGGATTTCACAGTTCAGCGCACAAGAAATAACGTCGTTTGCGCAGCGCTAGTGTACGCACCGCGGGCAGTGGCGCGGCGCACGACGGCGTGCGTGGCCACCAGAAGAGCGCCGCCTATGGTCAGCTTCAGCCACACTGCAACATACGTGCCATTTTTAATACGGCACATACGGACTGTTTACGGATCCACCGATTTTACTTGATTTCTAGTTTTATTTTGTCGATTCATTTTACTTCCAAGTTCAAAATAAAATTACTTTCCGGAGCAAAAATTAGCATCGTCGATAGAAAACGAAATATTTTATATCATAGTAGAAAATGTAATCTTTTTCGAATTTTTATCATCACGGATGCCTTTCTTGTCAAAGTTTCCGCTCCAATTAGAATGTTATATTATTATTTTATTACATTTATTTATTATTACACCCAACTAGATGCGTGATCTAATTAGGCATACCTGCAGTAAATATAACCAACAGATTTAATGTGTACATGTGGGTATGTGACGAATAGTTCAATATCATCCCTAGAGTTCTGAAAAGGCTTTGAAGCTAACGTGTAGGAAGCAAAAGGGCCGAAATAAAAGAAATTAAGACGTCAAATATTTATTCATACAACAAATTATTTATTAAAATGAATATAGGGACTAGTAGCACTCACGGTTAGCTAGTTAAACGTTAGTGTTATTTTTTTTAGTACAATAATTAGTAAAAAATAAAAATGTTAAAACAGGTTACAGCGAAAGTTATGAATTCTAGAACGGTCAGTATTCGACATGCTTTATAAGTAATTCGTATAGTATAGGTCTACCAGAATTTCATGACATAATGAGAATTCTTCACTTCTCTTCTGTGTCATAACAACAACCACATTGTATATAATAAAAAAATTAATTAATTAATTTTTATGGACAACAGTGTATATTGTTATTTGACCATGTCGTCTATTTAACGAATATGGTCATTCCGATATCTAGTCGTTTTGCTACCAAGTCATTGTAAGTTTTTTTCTTCTTCTACAGAGATGGCCGTTTTGCGATCTAGTCCTTATGCTGATCAGGTCATTTTGAAGATATAGTCATTATGATACCGGCCCTCACTCTTGATCAAAAAGTGGACTATGTCAAATTTGTTTTTACAAAAAAGACCCCAGACGCTCCATACAGCGGTCGAAAATTATGTACCTACTACTACTACTACATACAGCAAGGCGCTATCTGCACACGCGCAAATGTGTGCGTGAAGGGGCAGGGTTACCCATCACTTGCTCGTACTATTTATTACGTTACGTGGTCACAGCGGCAATCTGTTATCTATATTTCTATTATAGAATCCTAATAAATACACATGTTCATTACGTATTTATATCGATATAATATTATATTTTTCATTAATTCACTAACTATAAAAAGAATATTGAAGATTTATTTTAAAAATATATTAAAAGCACTTAAAATGTTATATTTTGTACAGGTACCTTTAAATAAGGTAACCAAAGTATTTGAAATTGCGTGTCCGAGTTTATCATTACCTAGTTAATAGTTAGGTATATTCACTACGTAATATTTTATCGGTAATACAAATTGAAAATTCGAGAACCCTTCTCTAGCTCACGAAGTTATGGCGTCTTATTATATTGATATAACAAATCTGTATTATATATTACTCTGCAATAAAGAAAACAATAACTGAAATGGTCTCAGACATAAGATTTTTTACTTATTTCGTTTCATCTTTCATCTTTCTTTTTATCCCGTTTAGATGATTATAAACAGCCGTACATAGCACAATTCACGATCATTATAAATAGTAACGTAAAATGATGTTATATATTAACGTACAAATTTCGTAATGAAAAAATGAAAACTATATTCAAATATCAAAGCCGTCTTAGAACGAAAACGGCTCGCCAACGGCCTTGTTCTCGTTCAGTCAATGTGACCGTCAATGTGCGGCGCGTGGTGCGGTATCTAAAGCTAGGGAGGGGCGGAGAGTGTCCGTTCTCATTACTTATTTGTTCTCTGCTAATGGTTCTAAGACAGGTACAGTTTTCCTTTATCTCCTATTGTTTCGGATTTACCCATATTGTCCCAGTTCAAAAAAACACTGTATATTGAAATGATTGAAGTTCTTTAGGAGCCCCATAATCGCAATTATTATTAAATATAGTAAAAACAGTTAAGGTTCTATTTTTAGATATAGGATAGAGGAATAACGATTTTTATTTAAAAAAAAAATTAAAAAAAAATAGGTAAGTAAATTACTATAAAGAAAAGATTGTTTTAGTATAACAATTTTTAAAACTACACAGCTATGATTGGATCACCAAATCTTATCCTATTTCAATTTACTCTGAGGTCCAAAAGTGCGTTCAAAAAACTTGATTTATTTAATCGCTGTTTATTTCATATTAAAATGATGAGATTAACTACGTTGTCCTGTTACCTGAACGAAAATACTGTTTCTGTAGATAAATAATTTCGGTTGCAAAACACCGGAAAAAAAATCGAAGTAGTCGTCAATCAACATAATGCCACACTAACAAAGTAGGAAGATTGTAATATAAGAAACAAAATATAAAAAAATTAAAATTTATAAAGGCAGTAGCTGGTGCCCGCGACTTCGCCTGTGTGGAATAATGCGAGTACCTATTAACTAACAACAAACACACAAACAAAGTTTACAACTTTTTTTGTGACGAAAAGTATGTCCTTCGCCTAGGTGCCACTTATTTCTACACAAAAATTTATTAAATTTGGTTCCGCAGTTAGGCGCGAAAACGTAACAAGAGTTACTTTCGCATTTATAATAGTTTGGACGATAAATACAATTTAAAAAAAAATCTTTTTCTATGTGTCAGATGTTAAAAACTCACAACTGTTAATATTTTTTTATTCCAACTGTTTCTTTCAAATTCAGCGTTTCTGATATTATTTTTTACTTTTCTCATTTTTCGTAAGATTCTGCAAGACCTATAATCGAATTTTTTAAATCTGTCATACAGTTTTAAAGGCGCTATCACGTACATTCAAGGGCAAAAATATGAATCTAATTACGCCATCGAGGTATTTCTATTACTAACGAATATACATTTATTAAAGAAAAGTGGTTACGTATTGTTCAATACCTTAATACAAATATGGTTTTAATAAATAAGTACATAACTTTTGCCACTGACTGTACCAAGCGTGAAAAAAAATTAAATAATTCTAAAGTAATTAAGGTCACGACGACATTTCTATAATTTTGACATATCTATACTTCAAACAAAAAAATTACAGCATTGAGGTCGCAGGCAAGCGCACAAATTTAGTTCATTCTTGGGACCGCATGGGGCACTAGACCATTTTGCGCAGTTGCATTCAACACTAAATTCATGGTGTACTCTCCGACGTGTGTCGTGTCTATAATAGCCATTAATAGCAGCAGTAATCATGATATAGTCGGTAATACGCTACGGAAATTCAATACGTCAAAATTATATAAGTGTGTACCCGACATTACGTCATCGTTAGCATTAGACGAAATTCTATTACAAAAATCTAAGCATCGCAAAAATATTAGGAAAATTTACTTACTGTGAGAAGATTTCTCCTCTTCCTTTCTCAGCTCCTCTTGTTGTTTCTCGTATTCTTCTTCCTCTTCCAGGGTGTCCGGAGGCCTTTCGCTGGATACTTCATCTTCTTCCACCTGAATAACAAAGACGTTACTTCATAGATATGGCAATGTTTTTTGACTTCTCAAATTGGTTAATAAGCAATTTTTGGTTTCATAGGTTATGTACCTATACAGGCACAAAGAAACCCTTGTGGTGAGTCTTCAATGTACGTTCGCACTTTCTATGTCAAGGCTGATTCTCAGAAACTACCGTTGCTATTTTGGTCGTGCCATCGAGTGGTTACTTGGCATTGATTTTATTTAAATAAAAACAAAAGTAGAATAACGACAATTGGGAGTCACATAATCTAGACTTATAGTTTATAGTCTCCATTCTGTATGCTCTATTTTCTCTATCTCACTGTTTGCATTTTTTGGCATCTAGAACATAGATTTCAAAAAATTGGTAAACAAGCGTTATCAGTTCAGGGGTCAACAGTCACTAGTAAGCTTTAAAAAGAGATTAGCTACCTCAACAAAAGGCTTTCCCGCAGGTGCACTGATTCGCTCGACAATCGGTGGTGGTTCGTCGGCGTCAAGGAAATCATTGTCTACGTCATCAGCTTCATCTGTATTGTCAGGTTCATCGGGATCGTCAGCTTCGTCTTCGTTGTCTGATGAATTAATAAATTATAATATGATATATCATACACCAAAGAAAACAAAATAGTGACAGATTATGCTACATTTCAGTCACTACTTTACTATTGTCTATTTCTCTAAATCGAGGACTACAGGGTATCAAATTGGCACTTGGCTTTATATTCTTAGTAATTAAATATAGTAATAATAAAAAAAAAATTAGCACATCTACCTGACAATATCCTTATGTTACACTAAAAAAGTTCTGTAGTTGGTAGAAAGGTTGTAAGACGCCACCAGGCAAGCCACACAAGTTTTCTTAAAGCTTTCGGTCTATGACTAGACTGGCTATGGATATAACTTGTAGGGCTAGCACAACAGGGTGCGACTTGCGCGAGATCGACACAAAGCGCGAGATATTGCTATTCTCGGATAGAGGTATCCCGCTTTATGTTGTGCTAGCCCTACTGATGAACTTTAAGGGTCGTATTCCAGAACTCTACTCAATGCTCAAGTAAGGATCTGAGTATGATTTCAAGCACTGGAAATACGACCCTAATGGCAAGGACTTGAGTATGATTTCGAGTGCTTTAAACCATACTCAAATCCTGACTTGAGCATTGAGTAGAGTTCTAGAATACGACCCTTTGTCTGCTTTATGCCAAAAACACAAAATGCCAAACGGACTGAATGTCAGATTAGCAAAATGCCAGATTCTGAAAATACCAAATGTCGCAGCTAGGAACAGGACTCCCTCGTCATGACGCACGAACTAATGTCCAGTATTGGACGTCATTCGTCTGAAACAATGAAGCGAGGTCCTGACGAATTATTTATTATAAAACAAAATGACAGGATCAGTTATTTAGTAGTTAAAGGAAACTACATTTTGTTTTAAATAAATAAATAAAACATTAGAACTTCGCTTCGTTATTTCAGACGAATGACGTCCTCTACTGGCATCTACATCAGAGCCTATGTCGATGACTACTGGACATTAGTTCGTGCGTCAGGAGGAGGGAGGCCTGTTCCAGGCAGCCACATTATGCATTTTGAGAACCTGGCATCCTGAGAATCTAGCATTTTGCTCATCTGGCATTCTGCTAATCTGGCATAAAGCTACAAAACGGAAATGACGACATTCCTGTCATAAGAACAACTACTTTCATCCTACGACGGACATAAAATTTTTACTTTTAAAACAAAACTGCATCAGCTATTTAACTATTATTCATTCTATAAGTCCTAAAACAAAAGTTATTGGTTTTAATTACATATATGTTGGGTTAAAAGGTTTCATGAATGTAGTAAAAACTAACCATCTTTTTGGCTATCATCGTCATCCTCCTCCGGCAATGCAGGTAACTCGATAGAAATAGGTTCATCAGATGGTTCTTGTTCTATCTTCTCCACATCTATTTCTTCATCTTCATCATCGCCTTCTTCATCATGTTCGTCTTCATCCTAAAAATATTAATTTTGTTTAAACAATGAAAGAAGTGCCAGCCAGCCAGTACTATTGACTGACATTAAGACACATTTTCAAAGCATGTATTTTTTGTCCTATAAAATTTTCAAGCCTGTAGAAAAACATAAAACGTCAGTGGTGCTATACAGCAGTTATTATACACACAACATGTACAAAAACAGCTCGAAGAGATAGCTGTGTCATTTTTCTATGAAAAATATTGTTAGCGTTATTGTAATCTATGTTTTCTTGGGTTAGTAATTTAATTGTTTTGATAGTATTTGCCTCGAATAATCAGCTCGATAATTAATGAATTGTAATCTTTCCATAGAAACAACAATTACCATTTCAAAATTTAAAGAAAGATGGCGAAAGCTGCCCCAATAACGACGAAGAGCCGTTCATGAACTTTGCTATTATAATTTTGCGTTTTAGTTTATGCCTAGTTATCAACATATTTTTGTATATTTTTAGAAATCGGGAATAAAAAATTTGTAAAACATTGTATTTTAGAACAGATGCAAGAACACAACGCAATTGATTCAGTTAGACCGTAGATTGGGTAACGTTCTTGTACGTACGTTTCATTTTAACCATGATTGAATGTTTACCTACCTGAACTATTGGTTATAGTACACAATTAAAACATTAAAGCTATGAAATACTTAACGAAATAATCAATTAAACAGTAATGATATAAAGCAAAGAATAAAAAACAATAGCGACAAAAATATTTAGACAATATTAAATGAGAGATAATGAAAGTTGCAAAGGAAGGTTTTGATAAGAGACCTCTTGCCAATGTCAATGTCACATTGTTATTGAGAACAGTGTGATCATTTGTGGCAGATTTCTGTCATTTGGGCGGGTTTAATTTTTATTCATTTTCATTGCTGCACAACACGACAAGTTATATTAAATGTGGCAGAGTTTGGCAGATTAGGGAATATTCGGGAAGTTCTATATTATTTTTGGGAACAAACTGGAAACTTGATGTTTTCTGCTACAACGAATATACAACTGAAGCGAAATATAGGATAATGTCACATAGGTCGCACTATAAGTTTCCGGAACTGGCCACTTATGTAAACAATGTTAAAAAAGTAATTACAACATTTGAAAATGGAACTATTTGGCTGTAGAATACAGTTAGTTTCATCTGTCACTTGTTTTTACTTTGTGGCGTCATTTTAGAAATTGGTTGTCTACATCACCACGGATTTAACTCATGAAAATTTTCGTAGTATGATTTTCTACGACTTTAAGTGTAATTTAACAGCTCAGCGGAGCTTCGCTCGGCTTCAAAACTGCTTTTGGCGATGAAGCACCATGCAAGACGACTATTTATAGCTGGTTTGCAGAATTCAAACGTGGTCGTATGAATCTCAATGAAGAATTTCGTGATAGTCGCCCGTCCTCTGCTGTGAACAACAAAAATATCGATGCTGTGCGCCGTATGATCAAAACAGACAGGCACGTGATATACCATGAGATTCGGGCATCTTTAGGCATAGGCATGAGTCAAATACAATCAATACTACACAAACATTTGGGTGTGAAAAAGCTGTGCTCCACACAATCTGACTGAGGCTAAAAAAACGGATCGCGACACTTGGTGCAATACCATGCTTACCAGAATCAACGAAGGGGCGTCAAATTTGGTGTGGAACATAGTAACAGGTGACGAAGCATGGATTTATAGTTACGATCCCAAAACAAAGCAGCAATCGAGCATATGGGTCTTTCGAGATGAGTCGAAACCAACCAAAGTGGCACGCGTGCAAAGTGCCTCGAAGCGGATGATTGCTTCTTTTTTTAATAAAACTGGACACGTGCCTACTGTTTCTTTGGAGGATCGTTGTACCGTGAATAGTGATTGGTACGTGAACAGTGTTTGCCGGCAGTTATTGACAAACTCCATAGAAATAACCGTAAACGCCGTATCATCTTGCACCACTATAATGCCAGTTCTCACACGGCCAGACAGACAAAGGAATTTTTGAAAGTGAACAACGTTAACCTTATGAGCCATCCCGCGTACAGCCCCGACCTGGCACCTTGTGACTTTTATTTATTTCCAAAAATTAAGAACCAGTTACGCGGTCAACGATTTTCATCACCTGAAGAGGCTGTCGAAGAGTATGAAAAATATGTTTCAGAGATTGTCACGGAGAAGTGGCATAAATGTTTTCAAAATTGGTTCTTTCGTATGAAAAAGTGCATTAACGCTAACTAAGAATATTTTGAGGAACAATAAATTAATTTCTGACCATTTATAGTATATTTTTCTTATTCATTCCGGAAACTTATAGTGCGCCCCACGTATAAACATAACCTATATCAAGTTTACAACCGCAGCATCTACAGGCTGTACTCAATTAGCTTTGTTGATGCTTTGATAATGAATCACAAGTATTGATAGGTCTCCTTAATGCACGTCGTCAAAAATACTGGGTCACAAAATACACGGGATGTCGCCATCCTTCTTTTGTACATGTAGTACTTGGGGGGATTTAGCACCTCTTTACTAAACAAGTAGTTCATGTAACAGTTGCGATTCACTGTTCGAACACAATACAATTTAAAGAGGTTTCACTGAACTGATCCAATCTGGGTGTTCAGGTTGGTGCCCTTAGATATAATTGCCTTAACTTATGCTAAGATCTTCAAGAAATTCTTAGTTTGTGACCGGCTCACTGGCTGGCATATTCTAATACATAAAGGACGAGTTACCTATATGAAAAAAAGTGTTACTTAAAAGACAATGTAAAGGCGCAGAATCCTGGAACTGGATAGACACTACAGTGTACTATAGTAGTAAATTTGCAAAGAATTGCGATTGTAAAAAAAACATTAATTATCAGTTTTTGGCTGTAGAATATTCTGAACGAATTTAAAGTTAATAAGCTGAAATTGTTTATGTAAATTTACGAGCAGCTACCAAACGTACTAAAAAGATACTCAAAAATTCTAACTGTAAACAGTTTTTCAAGCAGTTAAATAGAATCAATTGTTAGTGCCAATCAAAGTTCATCAAGTATATTTCACACTTTGGTTATTTCTAATTATCTGGCACCTCATTTTCTAGTGAATCTTCTTGTTCTTCATTTTGTTCGAATTCGTCTTGATCTTCATCAGTTTTTTCGTCGTTATCATCTTTTTGTTCGTCTTCATCATCGTTATCGTCATTTTGTTCGTCTTCATCATCATTATCGCCATATTGATCATTGTTTTCATCAATATCGTTACTTAGATTTTCTTTATCACCATCATTTTCGTCATTATCATCAACGTCATTATTTAAATCTTCGTCATTGTCCTCCTCATCATTTTGTTCGTCATCATCAAAGTTTTGTTCATCGTCTACTTCATCTTCTTCAGCAGTATCATCATCATCACCAATTCCGAAATATTTACTATAGCTGAACCCTCCTTCTTCCTGTTCACCGTGTTAATAATTCCAGATTTAGGGAACATATTTGGAAGTAATTATAAGATGTCAGAAAATACACATAATAATATGAAAATTTAAGATTTTCATATTATTATGTGATCAGGTTGTTTTATTTTTAAAAAGGGACTTTAAAATACAGAGATTGGTTCAGGATCATGAAAATAATATTTTAAAAAAATCCTTCGATCCGGCCGGATTCGAACCAACGTCTTCTAGCATACCGTAACCGACGCTATACCAACTAAGCTGTAAAACCAAATACAAAGGACACGACAACAAGCTCAGAAAAATTCGCGAGGTCCGCTGGTTCGTTCGATCTTTGTATTAATACTTATAACAAACTAGTGGAGTAATTTCACAAAAAATAATTGAATATCAACTCAATAAAAATTTAAAATAATATACTGTTTTGGAGAAATAAAATAATTTGTTTTTTTTATATTAATGATACTGGACCACATCTCAAATAAACAAATATCTGTGTATTGTTCAAATTCACTCTTTAATTATCATGCGAAGCAAGTTCACACAAGTCAGACCTCGTCATCAGCCTGTTCTAAGTCTTGTTCTTCACTTCCTTCATTTTCTTCATGTTCTTCTTCACTTTGTTCATCATCACCATGTTCGTCATGACCGTGAAAGGGATCATGATCATCTTCATCATCATCCTATATCATTTATTTTTAGAGTAAACAAAGTGGTATGGTTAATTTTATATAATTTGAATTTTACTTGATGAATATTCAATGAGTAATGGAGTGATTTTGCTAGATATGAAAGTGAAATAAATAATTGGGAATAACTGTCAACATAAAAAAAAGCATGGCAAACAAAGGATCAAGTAAATATAACAGACAAAACAACAACAGCCTGTGCCAAATAATGACAATTAGTGAAACGTACATGATGTTTCAGTTCAAGTGTATGCTCGTCATGGTGGTCATCATCAGGGGCATCTTCAAGCCAGCCCTCCAGCATACCAGAATACCTTGACTCCACAGCGTTTGCTTCCACTGGAACAAATTACTTGCTTGTAACCTTGTCTTTGTCTCACATACACAAAGACATACATTTCAAAGGTAAATACAAACTTAATGTTTGAACATTCGTACCTTTCGCAAAGGAGTCTCACTTTACATCTGCATCTGCAGACAACCATTGTGGTCAAGTGGCTTGCACACCAGTTTTCATGGTGTCACCATCGTTCAGGTCCGGGGTTCAATCCCCAGATGGGTCAATGTACAAAGTAACTTTTGAATATTGTCTTGGGTCTGGGTGTTTATGTTCCAATTGTTGTTTCCAATTCCCATAACACAAATGATTTACATAGTTACTTACATTAAGATCAGAACAATGTATGGGGTGTTGTCTAGGAACCGAAAGAAAGTGTCTAGTAATGTTGCTGAATGTTAAATGTCACAACAATTTTTATATTCATAACTTTATTTTAAAAAATATAAAACCAACCTCAAAAGTTCATGACAATATATCTATTTGCCAAGTTTTATTGAAATTGGTTGCCAGAAAGTGTGCAAAACTTGATTCATCCCCTGGTTTGCCACCCTTAGAGGTATTTTATTTAAATTTGACCAATACTGAGGTACCCTCTTTCCAACAAAAACAGAATCATCAATATCACGTAACATACACACAAAAAAAAACCGAAATACAGTCAATTGAGAACCTCCTCCTTTTTACAAGTCTATTAAAAATAAAACTATTTTTTCCATAACAAAATTTTGAATTGTGTAGCTTTTGCGAAAACCTAAGAACTCAATAGCAATATAATAATATTGATTCTGATTGTTGTAATTATAATATGCAATAAACAGACCAATATGTCTGTACCTGAGAAGAATTACACTGTAAGCACCATTTTTGTAATTTTATGGGGAAGTGATTTTGTACAACAAACTCAATTAGTTTTATTTCAAGCCATTCTAAATGTTGTACATGCTACATTTCTACACAAAAATCGCGTCCACAGCAAAATTACAAAAATAGCACGTACAGTGTAATGATTCTCAGGTATGGATATTAAATCTTCAAACAAACATAGGTACCAACTCTGTCTTTTATTTAAGTTTAGAGTAACATTACTCTTTTTTCAAATTTGATATCATGAGTTGCCAATATCATAATATTGAAAACTTTCTATAAACTCTGTAGTGTTCATCACAATAATAATTTGGCTTATTCAGCTTTCATTTAATTTTTGCTTTATAAATACCTAATAGATTTTAGTAAATATAAAAAAAATACTGCGACACTATTGTATTTTATGTCCCAACAAGCCTCAACCTATTACTTTGTACCTATATGTTTATCACTTGTGCTACATATAAATTAAAATATATTTAAATTAATAACTTTTTACAAGTCAGCTCAATCAAAATACAGAGTAATTTGTATCATTAAACTATCGAGATTCACCAAACGATACTCACATTCAGATAGTCCTCTGTTCTCCAATATGATCAGTCCAATAAGTGTGATAAGTACAGCCAGCAAAGAGAAGAAAATTATCTTAGCACACCAGTGACCTCCAGTGCCATGGTCATGATGTGAATGCATGAACACATCGCCATCCCCTAACGTTGCCGCGGTCCCACGGGGTTCTTCTATACCCAACTCATCTGAAAACATTAATTTAATGATAAAATTGCAAGATTCGAACTTTATAAATATAATTTTAGTAGGAAATGAGCTATTAGGCTTACCTTTTTTCTTTTTCTTGTCTTTACGTTTTCTTGGCTGTACGTCGCCTGACATGGTTCACGTTCTGGCGCCCCGTAAGCGACAGATACCCACCTTATTGTTTCATAACCCTGGGTAAACAAAAGAAACGATGAACTTGCAATAAAATAGAGTCACGAGCCAAACAAGAATCCAAATGCGCAATTATTATGAATAAAGAAACCTGTGGCGCACGTTGAAATTTTAAAATAACCTACATAACTAAGTATCTCCTGCTTTCTTGAATTTATTTTAGAATTAACCTAAAAATAACCGGCAAAGACAGCTGAGAGGGAGACAGGGACAAGACATGGCGGGAACCTGACGACATTTTGAAATTTTATTGTGTAGGTACTACATACTTTGCTCTGGGAACTATAAAACAATTACTCCAATGATTCCAATAGTAAAAAATCTATCATATACTTATATGCAAAGCACTTTTTTAATAACAAACATTCTATAATAATATTATACCAGAATAATACACATGTAACAAAGTATTCTTTGTCACATTTGGGAAGACAGCTGAGAGGGAGACAGGGACAAGACATGGCGGGAACCTGACAACATTTTGAAATTTCATTGTGTAGGTACTACATACTTTGCTCTGGGAAATTTAAAACAATTTACTCCAATGATTCCAATAGTAAAAAATCTATCATATACTTATGCATAGCACTTTTTTAATAACAAACATTCTATAATAAATTATACCAGAATAATACACGTGTAACAAAGTACTTTTTGTTAACACCTTAGAGTTCGGAAAAAAGTAAAGATAATTAATACATATGTTTACTCGGTTTACTCTATGAACTAGGTGAAAAAAAATGATTTAGTTTTAAAAAATGTGCTACCATATATCATTACATTATAGTTAGGATCATTATATACATATATATGTATAACGCTACAAGTTTAGACTCACTTAGAAAAACAGAACGCATATATGGGCGCGCTTACAAACGCCATCTATGTTCCTTTAGATAAACTGTTTGCAAGAAGGCTTAGAATTCTAAGCAAGAAGGCATGTTTATGCAAACAGGGCGCTGTCGTCTATCGTAGTGTTAAATGATAAGATCTCATTTAATTAAAACGATTATAATTTCTAAAATAATGCGCAAAATCCTAATGGTAAAATTGTTAAATAATAAGTTTGTAATATTGTTATTCTTAACAAGTTTTAATTTTAAAATTAATCGTTAACAAAAACGTAAAGACATTGTATTGACATAAAATTGGCTCCGCAAATCAGAGGTCGGCCAAAAAGATTGGTAATAATTGTGTTGATGTTTTTCCGCGCTTTTTTTTATAACAACCATAATTGTAATAATCGCGGCTCGGCTTTGTAACTGAATTGCATTCATTTTTGTTAATATTAACGTGAGTTTCCGTTTCGGAATAGAAGGTTTAAGTTGAAGTGCAGTTTCATTTATCTCGTGATGTCTGAGCCTCCTGACGACGACGACTTACAATGGCCGGATGGTTCCGCGCCGACACATACTTCCCGATATTTATAGGTACCGTTGTACGCGGATAGGCTCCAAGGCAAAGAATCTAATATGAGAAATCTGAATGTGGAAAATGTAAACGAGAGATCAACGGCTTGCAAAAACTATAATACATGGGGGGGGGGGGGGGGCTTTTATGCATTTTTATGAGATACACCCTGGTCAAATTTCGCGGGAAGTTAAAAAAGTTCGAAATTCAAATAAACAAGATGGCCTCCTATCACGGAAACTATTAGAGATAGGTAGGAAGTGCTCGAAAAAATGTCATAAAGGATAACACTGGTCAACTGCCTGGGTTAAAAAAAAATTCAAGATGGCGATTTCAAAATGGCGGCCGAAGAAAAATTTGCTTCGAACCGGCTGAAAATTGTCATGCGAGGATTTAGGAGTCCTTAATCATAATTTGGGGTCAAAAAGCAAAAAAGCAAAGCGGCAGAAAAAAGATTGCTCAGATCCCTTTGAAAATTGGCATATGGAGCGCTTGATAATAATTTGTGATCAAAAAGGTTTTTCGCCATTTTTAAATATGGCCGCCATACAAATTCATTGTATGAATTTTGAGAAAACAAATATGCAACCGAGTGTATTCATAAATTGTAATAACATTGCGGCTTTCGCTTGGTATCGAACGAACACACTTTTGTATAATGCATTCAGTTTCGTTAACCGCTTGTACTACGAGTACATCCTTTTGGCCAAAATTAACATTTAGTGATGTA